GCTCGTGCTCTCCTTACGGGGGGCAAGGAGCTGCTGCCCCCATTCCATGGTGAACCACAGAGCGAGGGCACCGAACCAGGCATCTGCACAAGGAGCCAGAAGCAGAGCACAGCCTCTGTTGCGTTAAGGAACAGTTTAACTTCTGCAGATAAAAAGGACTCCCCTCGTTAAGCTTCCTTGCCTTAATGAGCTTCTGCTCTGCTTTATCCAACACCGCAGCTCCGGGCGGGATAAACACCTCGGGCTGCACTCGCGGAGTTCAGCAAACAGGAGCAAGGCCACGGCGACAGTGTCACTTCTGCAGCTTCCCATCTTCTTCAGGTTCCAGCCTGGAGCCGGTCACCTCCCCGGAGCAGCAGCCGGGCGAGTCACACCTGTTGGGTACAGGACTCAGCCCATCCAAGCCACCAGCTACAACCAGCCGATGGACTGCGTGAGGGCTGCAGGAGCTCAGAGGAACGCACGTGTGGAGCGCAAGCATCTAAACTGAGGCGAGATGAATCCAAGTCAGAGGTGGAGTTCTCGAGGTGAAGGTCCAAATGCTTCATTTTGCTGATCTAGTCGAGAGGTGGCGTCCCTGGTGGCAGCGAGGCTGGATTAAAATGATCTCTGAGGTCCCTTCCAGCTTAGGCCATTCTATGATTCTATGATCCCACAGATGCTGGGAAGTTCCCTGAGCTGTGGACACAATAAACCTGTCTCTACCCTGCTCCGGACTGAGCAGTGACAACTGGGGACGCGTCGCCAGCAGACACCACCCCGAGAAGGAAAAGCTCCAATTAACACAGTCACACGCACGCAACGGCACAGCGAGTTATCTTCTTCCTCCCTTAGTTTTACTGTACAAGGAAAGAAAATCTCTGCATCTAGCTCAACCCCCCGTGTATTGGTTAGAAGAGCAGTCTGAGCAGAAATCATCTCATCCAGTTTTATTTGTCAACAGTGGAGACGTCTCCTGGTGAGCCCGTCACCCCTCGCTCCCTTCATAAATCAACGGGAGGAGACGCTTCCCAGGCACCCTTCATCTGACCTATTTTAGCCTTTTAGCTCATGAAGAAATGAATCATTTTTATTTCTCTCCTCTGACTATAAAGCAAGTCTAGACAAGTAACTCAGATGTTGATACTTAAATCTGGATAGAGTAATTTCACTTCTGGGGTCCATATCTGAGTGGGGCTTTCTCGCTGCCTTGCCTTCACTTCTGTCTCTCTCACAGCCCCTTCATCAGCAGCGCAGGGATGAAACGTTTTACTGGCATTGTAAAAACATGCAAAATAATTGCATGGAAGTTTCTAATTAGGCGTAGGCAGAAAACAGCACAGCACTACAGCAGAATTCCGGCTACGAAATACAAGTGTAAGAGCAAACGTACAACAATAACCACTTTCTCCAGTCGCAATTTTTTTTAAAATGGTTTATGTTGTTTGTCAACGAAGACGCTTGGTTAACAGTGCTACACTGACAGGCCAGGGTGATTACTGTGATGCTGGTTAAACGCTCTGACAAGCGCTTTTTTGGTGTTTGCTGCTACACAGCGGCAGATGCTGGGGGGGGTTCTCCTGCGGGAGAGCTGGCGGCGATGGCATCCCCTGCGACGCCAATTAGCCCTCGCTTCGGACAGCAAACGCACAGCCAGCGCTCAAAGCAGAGGGTTAGCATCTCAGCAGGCTAACACAAAAAAATCGGGGGATGGAGATCTGCTGCTCCTCTTAAAAACATAGAAAAACGTCATAATTTCTGGACACCGTGTCCTTCCTCTCCCCTCTTTTCTGCACTTCCGGAAACACAGGCGCCCACTCGCATTGACTAAACGAGGAAGATTACCCCAGCTGCGGCGCCGCGGACACAAAGCCCATTATCCCAATTTCCTTCAGAACATCCTCGGCACCTGCACACTCTGTCAGGGTAAGTCAATTAAGAGCAGCTTCACGAAACCACATTTCACTTCAAAGCTCTGCTCCTGGGGAAAAATATGAGCCCCAGCAACCGGACTCTCTACGTATCGACAGGGCAAGGGCAAAGAGCCTCACAGGAACGGCGCATTTCTGCAACACCGAGCCACGGACCTGAGGAGTGGTCCCTGCAGTTACTACGTCCTCGTCAATCCCAACCGAGCAGAACAAAAATCAAACTGGCCGACAACAAAGCAGATGCAGGAAGAATTTCACAGGCTTCTCCTAGGAGCTCCGTCAGTGGCAAGGGCCAGCCATGCCTCTTGTAGAAGCAATAAAATAAAAACCCATTACTTATCTCAGTCCTCCCTAAGGGTTTGCCCGGCTCTGAGCTCAGCATCTCAGCATCAGCTGTTCCCCAAGAGCTGGGCAGGAGGATTTTGAGGAACACAGCAGCTGAAACTCAGGGGGTCCTCTCTATTAATCACTGGAACGTATCCTGCTTCATTATCTGCCATCAGAGTATAATTCACCCATACTCTGCGTTATACATTAGACGTATTTATTAGTCTCTGGTACACACTAACTCTCACTCAAGGCAGTAGGAGCACGTTACATCCATTGCAACTTCTTTTTCACAAGTGGCAAGGAACCGAGTTGGGTCTGCGAGGAATCCCTACGTGCAAAGAGCGTGAGAGCTCCCAGTACATGTTAAAGCCACTGTTAATTCATCACATGGCATCACTGGATTGAGAAGCGAAAACCACTGAATGGAACTGATTCTGTTTAGCTCAAACCAGGACACTTGAACAGGATGTAAAAATGAAGCTTGAAGGTCTCCTGGAAAGTCTTGAGGGTAGCACGAGGTGTTCATGGAAGGCAGCACCAAACCCAAACCCTGAGCTGAGGTCCATCACAGGGCTGATTTGTGCCTTTGTGCTAAAATCACACATAGCTGCACACTTGGTTTCAGTGTGAAACCACCTAAAATGCAGCATGTTTGAGTTTCATCCTGAATTTGCTGTTTTCTAAGAACGCCTTTACCCATCGCTGTGAGAATGAAGAGGAGAATTTCTGGACCTGGAGAGCCAAAGCCTCCCCATCACCTGGCTGCAGGCATCGCTCCCACACACAGCCCCCAGCACACACGGATCCTGCACCCTCATTTTCACAGAATCATAGAATCATCATCATAGACTGGCCTAGGCTGGAAGGGTCCTTAGAGATCATCTAATCCAACTCCCTGTCATGGGCAGGGACGCCTCTCAACTAGATCAGGCTGCTCAAGGCTCCGTCCAACCTGGCCTTGAACACCTCCAGGGAGGGGGCAGCCACAATGTCTCTGGGCAATTTATCCCAAAGTCTTGCCACCCTCGTACTGAAGAATTTCTTCCTAAGGTCCAATCTAAATCTATTCTCCTTCAATTTAAACCCATTTCCCCTTGTCCTATCAGTGGACACTCTTGTAAAAAGTCCTTCCCCAGCCTTCCTGTAGGTTCCCTTCAGGTACTGGAAGGCAGCTCTTAGGTCCCCCCGAAGTCTTCCCTTTACCAGCCTGACCAATCCCAGCCCCCGCAGCCTGTCCTCGTAGCAGAGCTGCTCCAGCCCCTGGATCATCCTTGCGGCCTCCTCTGAACACGTTCCAACAGATCCACGTCCCTCTTATGGTGGGGACACCAGAACTGGACGCAGAATTCGAGGTGGGGTCACTTTCTTTCCGTGCTAATGAAGGAAAGCAGTGATTTTCCCCGAGTTGCTCTCGCTAAGGTTCGTTACAGCAAGTGCCGTGTCATTAGTGCTAATTGCCAGGCGTGCTGGCTGCCGTCCCCTCGCCTGGCTGATGACAAGCTCTCCGAGAGCCAGACAAGTCAAAACCACAGGGGCCAGACAAAACCAGTAGCGCCGGGTGGGAGTGACTGGGAGGGAGTGAGCTCTCAGCTCCAGAGGTGTAAGCGCTGCACAGGCATTGAGAGCAGGGTGGACAAGCATTAGACGAGCACTTAACGACTCCGAGGAACAGTATTAAATAACTTAATGTTGATTGATATGCAGGCACCTGCTGCTGGGACATGCTTTACAAAGGGTTTGTTCAATAGGACTATTGTGCAGAACCTGCTAAGACAGAGAAGATGCCTGTTGAGAGAAGCTACAGACTGTTTTTTTTACTGCAGCCTGTTTACCACAAAATTTAAAGTGCTAAATTACTCTGACACGGCTAACGGCTACGGCCGCTTTAGTCAGCCAGCGGCTACTCAGCTCCAGCAGGTATCATTGTTTTTTCTTCACACTGACCACAGGGCCTGGGAGATGCTCTGACGTGGTCTTGAATCCAAGTGTTTCTCTGATTTTTATAATCATATTTTAAGAAATGAGCAGGCCAAATGGAGCAAAGCTTATGGGAATAAACTACTTGAATTACAGTCATGAGTGTCTGTTTCCACTCCTCAGCAGAAACAAAGATAACGTTGTTAATAGTGATCATTGGGTTTAGAGAATATAAATATAACCATGATTAAATTCTGCTCCCTGTGAGCTAAGCCAGGAAGTCATCTGCTCTCAGGATGGAGATTATGGATGCATTTACAGTCCCAAATAGCTAGAGCCTGATCCTGTTCCTTATTTTGCTTTCAAAAAGACATTTGGTACAAGTACAAGGAATGCAACTTCAAAAAGAAGCCAACTGCAAAAGACATATCCACACCGTTCATCCTTCATCTCCTTATCCTTTGCTCCACGTGGTTTTGGTACCTTTGGGGAGGGGCAGGATGATTCCCCCTCTCCAGGTGGAGGTAGCAGGAGCAATCTGCCAAAATGCAGACGCCCCTGGTGACGCCTTTGTGGGAGCTGCTCAGCCTGGGGCCTTCTGAAGAGCAGCTCAGCTCATTCGGAAGAAGACTACGAGCTTTGCCAGCTCGGTTGCTTGCCCAGGGGATGCTTATTTCTTTTTCCATGAACAACATAAAGATCTGGGGCAGAGAGATCTACAGCACAGACAGACCGGAGCCAGGTAAGACGCATCCACGCGCAACCTTATAAAACGAAATGATGCAGGTAATAGTCCGAGATAAACACATTTGTAGGCTCTGATTTCTCAGAGCGTTTGCTTACCTTGGATCACAGAGAAACTTGGTCTTTTCACCTTCTTCTCTCCAAATAAGCCATTCTCGGAAAGATGGATGAACAAACATTCGCGTCATATCTCTACGTTTGATAAGAAACATAGAAAGGTTCTCCATCCTCTGCTGAAAGTCATCCCACTCCAAAGTGCCCTCAATGTTACCTGCATTAATGGCCTGAAAAATATGTTCGTCTGTTAATGGATGCAGAGATGCCACTGCCACATTCAAGAGAGGCATAACCCGATCAAAGGAAGACTGCGTTGGGAACTTCATATTGCACTGCAACAGGTAAACTTCTGACAGAGACACTGGGACTACTTTGTAGCTGGAGCTTTTTAGTACTAGGTATCCTTTCTCTATGAGATCAAAAGTGAGTTTAAGGTACAGGTAAGAGCCTTGGCTCAAGGTCTTGAGGTGAGAACTGAGTTTGCCAAACGTAGTGTTGTCCATTTTGCCATTCAGCGAGATGTTGTTCTGGATCTCCGAGCTGCTGTGTATCCGATGAAGGATGTATGCCTGCAGGTCCTGGTCTATGGCTTCGTTCTCTTCCAGTCTATCCAAAAATATTCTGTGGAAGGGCAACAGCTTAATTATTTCCTACAAAAAAAGAAAGGAAAAAAAAGGGATACTGAAGCTGGCAGTGTTTATTACTCATTAAGTAAACTTAATTAATATACAATAGCACCTTTGGGACTCCTTTCAGACCTCTTCCACCAGGGCGAGCACAGAAGCTGGCAGTTTGTGCCCTCAGGACTTCACCTTCTCATCTATAAACAAGTAAGTTGTGCGCGAAACACGACTCAAATAAAAATGAAGGACACTGTTCCTAACACCTCATCCACGGAAAGGGCTGAGTCCCCTTCCAAAGGAATTTTTGTGTCGAGGACTCTCAGTCACTGCGAAGAAAGGAGAAAAGATGCAAGGGAGCTGGACAAGGCTGATGCAGGAGGAGCCATCAACTCTCCAATAAAACGAAGAAAGTGAGCACAGCGCAGAGCTAACCCTCGCGGTGAAAACCACAGGGCTGCAAAAGCCCTGATTAAATGAGGAATTCAAGTCATAGGGATGCAATTTACCTACAATTACAAAAAGATTTCTTCCAAGTTGTGTTTAATCTACTCTGCTGCCGAGCACAAAGGAGCGCAGCACCGAGAGCAGATGCAGCCTGTGCTCTCCCGGTGCCTCGGGGAGCAGCTGGAACCAGCCCTCAGCTCCCTGCCACCAGGACCACAGTAAATCAACCTGTGGATCTCGGTAAATATGAGCAAATCTCAGGGAAACTGCTTAATGGAGCTCGGTACAGATGAACTCCACAGCTCTGTGCTAAGGAAAAAAATGGCCAATAACAAAAAAAAGAGAAACCCAGAGCTGCAGACACGCTGGGCGAGCTGAAGAGCAGCTCAGAGCTGGCTCCCAGACGCGCAGCCCGTCCCTCTGACGTCCGTCTCCTTCGGGCTCCTGGCTCCGACGCTCAGTGGGAAGGTTCCCACAAGCGATGCTGCAAACCAACCAGCTCTGCTGTGGAACAGTGGGAGGAGCAGAGCTGCCCTAACTGGGTCATTGGGTTTGCTTCCCAGCTTGCTCCAGTCAGACGAGCAGTTGAGCCAACAAACTCAGGTCAGCTCAGTCCTAGAGCCAAGTGATGGTGAGTACCTAAGGACAGGCTGAAGGTAAAAACCTGCCCAGCTGCAAACTAAAATAAAACCGCTTCCGAATAACCCAAACAACGTTCAGCTCAGAGCTTCAGCACCTGCTCAAGACAGTCTTCTCTGAGCTGAGCAAGTGTGGGTGAGCAAACAGCCCACTGGCACGTGAGCTGTCCCACTCCAGTGATCTGAATTATCCGCTGGTGAACATTTATTGACATGAATAAGCGATGCTGGATTAGATCCAAAGCTGTAAAGCGCGTCTGGGGACATGAATGTAAATGCAAGCACAAAAAAAGCCTGAAGGGTAACCTGAAATAAAGAGTCTTGAGCAAATCTAGAGATCCACTAAGGTCTTTATCAAAGTCTGTCATGACAGTGCCATGGCTCATCCCAATTCTTTGTGTGCACCTACCTGGAGACTTGTCCTGACTGTCACTACCAGCTTCAGCCAGGTAGGGAATTTTCCAATCATCTTGCTCAGAAATGATACTATGGTGTCTCCATAATCCGGCTTGTGAAATTCAGCCTCGTTTAAACCATCAATTAATATAATAAAATCTTCATCGGGGATCTTCCTCTCTGAGAGAAAGAAAATAAAGCATTTATTTAAAAGGCTAGATATGTGACTATAATGGACTGCAAAGTCACTACAGTGTCTTAAAGCACCATCAGACATTGCTAGAGAAGAAAAAAGATGCAGCAGCAGCATCTCTCTTAGGATACATTGATTGCACATACACCCAGAGGTAGGGTCACGCATACACAGCTCGAATTCTTATAAAATGGGTATTTTATTTGCGACAAAACACAACTATGCTATCGCACAGATAAAACGGCTCATCTTTTTTAAAATTACCTGTGCCGAAGTCCAATGTTATGTGATGTGAATCAGCATCTTTGTGGTTTTAACGAACACGTTATCAGTGGTTCTCTATCCTCTCACCCTGATGTCAGCCTGCCTTAAGTTTTGCAGCTGCTAAATGAAGATTCACCAGGAAATTCACCTCCCTGACACCTCTAGATCCTTCCAATTTTGGCACCAGCACTTCAGAGCGAGGACTGATTACCACAGAACCTTTTTCAGTCAACTTCTCGAGTGCACTAGCAACTACTTTATGACTCTCTGAACTCTTGGAGTGAATATAGTGCCTGAGTTTTATACCCCCATCTCATGTTTCTCATACAGCCTGAGGCAGAAAGAAGAAAGCAGGGAGTAGGGGAAGAATCAGAACTTTGTTCTCCTATTTAGATGCCCTGAAAATTTAAAAGAGAAAATTATATTGGTGAAACATAAATCTAACTTTCTCCATGATGTTCACTGTTAGAGGCTGTGCAATGATTTTGTCCCAGTAGCATTAGCGCTTCAACAGCACCTTGTAAAAGACCTGCTGATGCATTTACACAGTCTTAAATGTTATATGTTTTAAACCCAATTTCCAGACACTGTTCATTTTGTTACAAAACAGCAGCTTGCCAGCACTCTCCATGGGCAAGGCTGAAAGACAGCAGAGTTCTCATCATTGGCTCCACTGGAGTGCAGAGCCCAAGAGGAAAAAAAAGCTTTCATATAAAATTTTGCCACTCCACAGAATTTAGGACCAGATGGGGGTCAACCTGCTTGGCAAGAAAAATAAGCATCCTCCAACATGCTCTGAATTCAAGAGCTGGAATACCTCCCAAGGAGTTACTGTAGTAACCAGAAATTGTTTTCCTTTCGAGCAGCAGCTTCTAAATGTATTTTTGTTGCTGTTTTTTTATTTAATTTTTTTTTGGCCAGGAGCATTGGTAGCAAGGAGTAGCCACGCTACTCCTACGGTGACATTTCTCCCTGCCAGGAAAATCAACTGCTGTGGAGCTGTGCTGGCTCTACATGTGCTTTGTGCCTGGTGGAACCAGGCAGATGCTGATGGACCCTGCGCTTGGAAGCTCATTTGAACAACGGGGCTTTTATTTCATGGTGGCTCCTCCGCCATCGTATGTAGGGTGGCAATGGGAAATCAGCTGAAGTACTTTTGCAGCCGGCTTGCAGCACGTCGTTTTCATAACCGCCGCTTTGCAGGACAACAGAGCCCTGAACTCTGCAACGCTCTGCCAGTTTTCATGGCAACGAGCAAAGATCTTAAATTTAGCGATTGTCACAACACATCAGTTATATCTAGCAGAGGGATGAAAGAAAAGGAGACAAAACTGATGTTGCATTAGAAAAATCTCTGAAATATTTAACCAGGATAAGGCTTGTTACCAGTTCCCCCAGAAGCTTTGCGCAGGGTATCCATAGACTTTTACAGTATCGGCTCTTTGGTCAAAGCTTCAAATTCTCAAAATCCCACTAAATAATGGCAGGGAAAGGGAAAAAACATTCACCCTCTCAACAAATAAATCGGAACATGGTACCATAAGCAGAGCTGTGCATGGAAATTGGGTTTTGTTTTCACCTTCAGAACCGTGAGGCTGGATTTGGGCTCTGCGTAGGACATTTTCTCCAGGCCCTTCACCAGCTTTGTTGTCCTCCTCTGCAGTGGCTCCAACACCTCGAGATCTTTCTTGCTTTGAGGTGCCAAAACCTGGACACGATACTCAAGGTGTGGCCTTGAGTTTAAACACCCGGATGCAACTAAGCGGCGTAACAAAACTAACAGGGGTGGTGGGGAGTGCCGTTACGCTACCTTTGTGGAGGTTCTCCAAGGGCTCCAGGACCCCCCTGCGGAAGGAGGCCATGGGGTCCTGCACGCAGGACCTCAGGCTCAGCATGCTCTGCAGGTGGGGCTCCCGCAGCAGCTGCTCCCGGTAGGCGACGAACTGCGGCGAGCGGCAGAGCAGGGCGGCCACGTTGTGCACGAACTCGGGCACCAGGCAGGTGTAGGCGTTGTCAGCTTGGCAGTAGTGATAAGCGACGACCTGGCAGGGGGCAAAAAAGAACAAAAACCAAAACAAAACTCAACACAAACGCATCTTCATCAGCCACCAGCCGGGCAAGTCGGTCAAAGCAGCGTTTTTCATCGGCTGAGTTTGATGCGTTCTGGCGGGTGAAGTCTTTAAGAGGAGCGAGCGTTAACTACCTGTGACAAGAATCCAGACGCATCAATCGGTAAAAACAGGCACCGAGCCTGAAAAATGACTGGACCTGCCACTTGAGGAATAAATGAAATTAAGTTGTAGCTGCTGACGGGGACGGACAGTGACAGTAAGTGACAGACCTGAAGTGGGGAGTGATAGGATTGTGCTCCGAGCTCTGGTTAAGGACTTGGCGTCAGTAATAACTTGTGATTGTTCTCTAGAACTTATTTTTTATTTGCTGTTTTCAAAAGCTAAGCCCTGCAGATGCAGACAGAGTGCAGGCTGAGTACCTTACAGCAAGGTAGCATCTGCAAATAACAGATCCCTGTGAATGGGGGGGAATGTCGGGTTAACTACACGTTACTCATCCACTGTGATGCTGCTGTTCATTCAGAAAATCAATTCAATTTAAATAACAAAACCCTCAACTTCCTCTTTTCCCAGGTCACCTGATTTTCCCAGCTCTTCAAACTCCGCTAGAACCCACTAAATTCTGCCCACTTACTAAAATTAGCAGAAAAACAACCGTATCTTCTCAGTCCAATCCGCCAACTTCCCCGTTTTCTTTTGCAATAGGAAAAAAAAGCCTCACAAAAATCTCTCCCTGCTTGTCCAGCACCCGGCTTCTCAGGCTCTCTTGCCCATTTGGAACAAGCCTCTGCCAGGTCACAAAGCTCTTCCCCAGCTCCCACTCGCTGGGTTTTCTTTTCAAATGTCACCCGTAACATCCAAAAATATCCTGGCAAGGCAGGTGGGATCAGTTTTGTACCAAAAACCACCAATGCCCTGGAGCACTGTAGCACAGAATACAAATACTGCAAAAGAAAGCGCGTTTCTAAACTTGGAAAGGAGAAGAGAACGGAGGACATCACGCACGCCAGAGAGTCGTGGCTGCTCAGGACAGGGTGGTGGGTCCAGTCCCTGTGAAGGGTGGTCCCAACACTCAAAACCGACCGGCTGGGGGTCCTCACGCACTGCTGGCTCAGCACCGGCTTTTAAAATTTACATTGGAATAGATGAAATTAGTAATGGCTATAACGCAATAATGGCCTTTCACAGTCAAAATGAGGTGTGGTGCACACCGTGATGACAGAGCTGGGTTGTTATTTCAAGCACCAAGCCTTAATACGTGTGCTTAAGCTTTAATGGATGCCTCCAAACTCCTAACAGAATTCTTCTTGCCAGCCATTTAAAACAGAATGTATTCCCTTAGAGAACAGCATCGGCTAGAGTAATAATAAAGGTAGTGATTTCTTTTCAACAATCCTATTTATTTGGGGATTATAACTTGTGGATTTCACAGTATAAAGTTCTTAAGCAGCTGTCCCTTGATATCAGGTTCCCAGTAACAGAAACCAAACCACTGTACGCAGAGCTCTTAGTTCCTACATAATAGGTGTGAGGACACAAAAATAAAGTCTCCTTTTTACCGAGAGCTAATTAACTTCTTCCAGGAATCTAAAGAGCCATGTCATGGAAAAGGGGACACACGAGTACCACGAGGGAAGGAACGGTCCCTGCTGGATATTGGGACACACACAGAGCTACAACTCAATTAACTGAAGCCCCTTCACACACGTTCCTGATCCTCATGCTGGCGTGGCTGATATGCTGACTGAGCCTGCAACAGTAGGATCAACGCAGCATTTAACAGGCTGATGCGAAGGCTAAACCAGTGAGCAATGAAGATTTTTGGAAAGGCAGCCAAAGGAAAGGCACGATGACGTTCTCAGAAAGGCAACAGCGCCAAAATTCCATCTTGATGTGTTTTATTCTCTGTGACATTTTCTCCATCTTCAAATCACAGAGAGACTGTCAAAAAGCCAGAGCTGCTAGGAATCAGGCTCCTCATTCGCACAACCAGAGTTGGGTGGGAAACAGTTTCCTCATCCTCTAAAACTTCTCAAAACTTCAGAGTGTTTCCCTGTTCCACCCTTGGGAATGAGACCGGGGTTCATGGGAGAAGCAAGGGGAAGAGACTTGAGGACGATCAACGGGTTGGTGTTGACGGGGCTCAACCCCCAACAAGGTTCCAGGATTGTTCTTCCTCCCCCATACTAGATGAACACCTTTAATATCTGGTCACTAATGCTCTGGGGAAAGTCTCTTTCCAACTATTTCACTTTATATACTTTATTAATTGCTGGAGAATCCAGTGAGAGGGATGAATTATCATCTCTACTGCTCAGGATTGTCTTCTAAGATATGGGAGACCAGGTCCAGCCCTTCCTCTGCATCTGAAATGAGCACTCTGTTTGCTAGTGGTGATTCTAGGGGGTATTTAGTCTCTCCTCCTTTTGTTCCAAGGGAAAAAAAAAAGAAAAAAGATCTTGTATAACCCAGAAATGAACTTGTCATTGAAAAAGTCTGCTCTCAATAAAAGCTTAATTTTTCCAGAGACTGAACTACTTTACTTTAAAAAGCTGCTTGAAAAAGTTCCAACCATTTCTCATCCTAAACAAAATCCTTGAATTAAACATTTAATTTTATCTAGAAACTGTGTTAGAATAAATGAAATCACCAGGGAACAGCACGCTCTTTCAGAGGTATGGGCATGCCCGCATGCTGTGGCTGGTAAACATTTATTTTTGTCTCACACAATTTAAGGCGTAATTCTTCTAATCATAGTTTCAATTTGAACTTTGCCTTCACACAGTACTAAACATTATAAACACTAAATTGGACTTGCAAAACTTTTAAGTCTTTACTTCAGCTATCAGGTTTGTTAAATGACACTTACCAAGTTGGAAGCTGAAAAATTCCTTGCTCTGAAGTTTAATGAAATTTAAATCACTGGATTGCAAACATTAAGTACGCAACGTCTATAAGCAACCCGAACGCAAGAGAAGGGGATTGCAACAAAGGACGGGAAAAGCAACACCTTGATCAAGAGAACTGTTCAAAATAGCTGTTACGTCATTTTTACGAGGGCTGAGAAAGCAGTTTCAATGAGTCCATGCTGAGAAACCAAGGCATTACGTTGTTTATATTAAATATCAAATGCCAGAAGTTACAAACTTGTGTCATTTCCTTCCTTGCCTGAAAGGGAGCTTCAAAATAATTCACACCTGTGCGAGGCATATTTTACTTCCAGTGATTACCTCCTCTCCTAAGACGATTCAGAGAGTCTAGCTGGCTACACACCAAAGAAGTACACTCAGCATGAGCTTTTTGGTAGCCAGTTTTTTCAAACATTAGGTGTTACAAGGCTTGAGGAACACCAGACGCGGTGAAGGCAGAGCCTCCAACAGGCCATGACCTCCATTCTCTCCTCAACTGGGGCTGAGAAGCACCAAAAATCTCATTTACTCAGAAGTGACGTAAACTTCACCTTAACTGCTGAAGTAGAATTATGAAAGACATGGTTCACATTCTCTTTACGTGTTAAATTCAGCAGGTCTTCGAGAGTCTCTTCACAGAATCACTGAGGTTGGAAAAGACGTCTAAGATCATCAAGTCCAACCGTCAACCCAACACCACCGTGACCACTAAACCATGTCCCCAAGACCCACATCTACATGTTTTTTGAACACCTCCAGGGATGGGGACTCCACCACTGCCCTGGGCAGCCTGTGCCAGGGCTTCACCAAGATCTACAGGTAAATGCTGCTGTGGTCTTCCAGTATCTTAAGGGGGTGTACAAGAAAGCTGGGGAGGGGCTTTTTAGGATGTTGGGTAGTGGTAGGGCTAGAGGGAATGGATTAAAGCTAGAGATGGATTGGTTCAGATTGGACATTAGGAAGAAGTTCTTCACCACGAGGGTGGTGAGACCCTGGCACAAGTTTCCCAGAGAAGGAAGACACATGCGTGCTAGAAGCAAAACAGCTCTTCCAGAGAGAAAGAAAAACATCAGTGCAAGGGGAGGGGAAGAGCCACATGAACGCAGCAGGAGAGGCACAAAGAGTGGAAAAAAATGAGGGACAAAAGAAATTATGTGTGAGCTATAAAGTACAGAGGGAGAGAAGAGACCGAACTGTGAAAGGGGGAAAAGCAAAGAGAGAGAAAGGAGAGAAAATCACATGTCAGGAGATAACGGTAATAGGAGAAAGGCTGGCAGGACAGTGTGAACATCAAGGGAGAAAGAGGGGCTAAGATGGCTCGAGGGAAATAAGTTATTTTTACTTAATAGGACAGGTCAATTTTAAGCAGTTCTCTGGCACCATTTGTGAACAAGAACATCCTCCATTTAAGAAGTGTTTCCTTTGACATCACGTCTCTGCTGCGATTTGTCTCGGCTTCCTTCCATAAGTGTCTCATGCCAGGAGCCCATTGTGCCAACCCCCCCCAGGACAAGGACCAACCTCACCGACCCCTGGACTCCCAGCAACATCCCAGTCCCTCCAGCGCTCTTCCAGGGCTTCAACATCATATTTCAACTGCATTTCTGCACCTAATAAGATTTATCTTTTTTTTTTGACCCGTACAAAATAGCTTTGAATACACTCAGGGTAATGTGTTCACCTGCCAAAATGCCGCTGGCCAGGCGTAACGCCGGCTGCGATGCTGTAAATGGAAACCAGCACCGCCGTTATTTTATCCATCGCACATGACCGCGCCTGTACGTGCTGACCCAGTTTATTGGGAATGTTCATTACTTTGACACAGATGGCTCCACCAGCAAATGCCCTCTGAAACTCATTAGTGTCGCAGGGCATCAAGGCTCAGAGGTAACGATCCCTCCACCTCTACGTAAGGTAGGAGCGCTCCCTTTCTTCTTCTAGGCCTCCAGCAACGATAACACCGCTTCGGCTTATTGGCTTGGAGGATGGGGAGAAGAGCCGGTGAATCTACCAGCCGTGCTCGGCACTGGCCAAGTGCACTAATGTGACGGACACGTGGCT